GCTCCCCCCGCCCCTGGACCTGTGTACGTCACCTTGTGGTCTCCCATGCAGACGTTGGGCCCAATGTGGTCATAGGTGACAACCTTCTCCTCGCTCTCTGACTGGAAAGGGGAAAGAGACAGGTAGGTGTGGAGAAATGGGGCTCCCTGGGTCCAGTGGGCAGCTGACCAGCAGGAACATTAGGAGTTTGTGGGTGCAGAGAGGTGTGGGGGTCAGCCCCTGCAAATACCTCCCCAGCCTCTGCCACCCACCCTGCCTGGCTCCAAGAGAGGCCGGCCCATGGACCAAAGGCCCTGGTGACCTGGCAGTACCTCCACACCTGGGCCCTGGCCCTTTCCTCCAGGAGGTATCCGCCTGTAGGAGGGGTGGCGTGGGGAGCCCCAGGTGCTGGCCCTGCTCCCCAGCTTCCTCTCCCAGATGTGCTCCTGGGCTCCTGGGGAGTTGTGGGATACCCTGTCCACAGCAGTGGGTGCATCCTCAGCTCTCTGTGCAGCTGTGCCCCTGGGAAGCAGCTTATTAATTTCCCATTGTCCCACTTACATTTGCTCTAGACTGTTCTATTAACCCAGAACTCAGTGTTCAAATGAGAACAGACACCGAATTCCACACCAGTACACACAGCAATCTGTGCACAGTCATTAATGGCTATGTGCACACTTCCCGGCGAGCGCCCGTGTTCTGGGCGCCTCGGGAAGGGGTTTGCTGCCAGTCACCCTTGCTCTCACTGGGCTGGAATTTTATAGCCGCAGCTGGAGCATCTGAGACTATCGAGTTAAAACTGAATTATCTTTAATGCAGTGGGAAGCTGAAGGTCAGACTTAGTTTCCAGCACGGTCGCCCGACAGAAAGGATGAAGACGGCCTCCACGCCGCACGCACGAGCACCTCCCAGGCTCTCCGGGCAGAGCGGCAGCTCCGCGGAGCGGGGAAACATTCATCAAACGCAGCGTGGTAATTTACAAAGGCAGCATAAAATTGTGGATTTTCAACTACATAATCTTTGGACAGATAAACAAATTACGGCAGGCGCAGGCAGAGCGCCGCACACCTCACTGAACACTCGTCACGGAGGCTCCCAAGCAGCGCCACCCGCGCCCCGTGCCACCTTTGGTGTTTCAGGGATCCGGGGGAAGAACGGAGCTTGGTGACGAGGTGACAGTGCGTGTCATGATGGATGAGGCTGCGGAGCACGCCTGGCACCCGTCTGCTTGGCCTGCACGCCTGATGCCTGCTGGGTGGCCCCTCGGGGAGAGCCTGTCCAAACTCCGGCTCCAGGTGGTGCGGGCGGGGCCTGTCAAAGGCCACCAGGTGTGCCCTGTGAGGCTCCACCCCCATCTGAGCATAAAGCGTCAAGTCCTGAGCCCAAAGAACCCGAGAGGCTGTGAGCAAATGGAAGACAGGCTACAACGCTGCCCTGCTCTGAGCTGGCAGAGCCCGCACAGCATGGGAAGGCCACAGCCCTGCCAGCCTCTGCCCTTGGGCACTGCCCGCCAATCACCCTGCTCATGACCTGAGACATTTTCCCAGGGATGGCATCTGTGCCTGCCTCCCCAGGAGGCTCCTGACCCGCTGGCAGCCCTGGGCTGCACACGTCCGACCTGCTGTCAGCACCGGCAGGTGGGAATGCCCACCAGTGAGCACAGCCAGAGGGTCAGGGGCGTGTCCACAGCCAGGCTCCGGGCCAGGCCCACTCCTGGGCTTTCAGGCTGGCGTACCTACCCCTTACAGCATGGGAGCAGCTGTGATAGGGTGGCCAGCATGCTTTCCTCAGTGATGGGCACAGGCCCTGCCCGCAGGCCAGAGGTGCAGCTGTGGAGGAGCTGAGCTGGCTGCAGACACCACAAGCTTCTGGCCAAGGGGGTCCCTGCCTCTAGCCCAGGCTCCCGCCCGGCAGGCCCCTCCTCACAGCGCAGCCAGGGACTGAATGCAGGCTGCACCCAGGGTGCTCCAGGACGTAGGAAGGAATGGAAAGGAGCCCTGCCTGGTGGATGGAGCCACGTGGTGGGGGCCAGCAGGGCACGTCTCAGGGAGCGGGCTACAGGGGGTCCCTGGCCTGCTGAGGTTGCACCTGTACCTAGTGGCTTGCTGTGCCCGGGGTCTGGTCCCATCTGGCACAGGGACGCAGACGGGCAGTGCAGGACAACAGGGCCCTCACACGGCTGGTGTTGAGGTTGGGGCTAGCAAGGGGCTCCTGTCCCTGCTCTGGGCCTGGGATGGTGAAGATGGGGGCAGAGCCCACCAGGTGGGCAGTGGTGCTGCCAGAGTCTGCAGCCTCCTTCCGATTGCCCACCCAAGTCACAGGCAGAGGCCCCAGCTCTGGGTTTGGGCATGGCTGCGGTTCCCACGCACTCCCGCGGATCTGCTTATTATCTGCATTTCACTTTCATTGACGGGGTTGACAAAACCAATTAAGATATTGATTCTTCTGAACACACTCCTTGTCTGTTAAAATGTAGGACTGAAAGACCACAGGTTGGCCAGGTGTGGAAGCTCCTGCCTGTAGTTCTAGCACTTCGGGAGGCTGAGGTGGACAAACTGCTGGAGCCCAGGAGTTTGAGAGCAGCCTGGCCAACATAGCAAGCAAGACCCCATCTCCTTTTTTGTAAAAAA